CCCCAAAACCCCAAAACCCCAAAACCCCAAAACCCCAGAGGTTGCACTCAGTATTGGATTCAGAAATAAAATAACAAAGATGGAAACAAAGGCTTCAATACAGCAAGCCTGCTGTTATTCTGGAAGCTCTGAGTGGAAAAATTCCTGCATTCAGTACAAATTTTCAATAATTTCACAACCTTCTTGGTCAAGAATTTCATCCTGCCTCTGAAGATCTTCTTCAGAGACTTGATAGAAATTCTGCCGCTGGTAATCAAGAATTCCAGCAATATGAGAGAAGAGAGCTTTGATCTCACAGATCCGGTACGTGCTCTTCCCAATGTTGTTTTCTATGTTGAGAGGGTCCTTGATTACAATAGGATCGTCGGAGACTGAGTTAAATGGGTAATAGCATCCACCCCTGCTTATTAGGATGCCGACATTTCTTTCATCAAATTTTGACCCATAAAATTCTAAGAAATGCATCAAAAGTTGGGAGATATTCAGGAATGCATTCTGAAGATTAAAGAAGTTCATATAGGCTACTATCATAATGATCACACCATAAGAGCTTAGCCCGCCTTTGTAAGGAGAGTTCAACCCTTTTAAAGAAAGAAGCTGTTTGATAACTAAAGTCATTTCCTTCAGATGAGTGTAGTCTTTTAAATATGATCTCACTAAATGGACTGATTTAATTCCAAGATGATGAATTTTAGTTGAGTCCCAGTCTAAACCTTCCCAGAATAAATCAGATTTTATCCTTTTATGGTCTTCAAATGTGATATCAATCTGAAGATATCTCATTTTAGGATCAACAGCTAACGAATTCTTCTGGCTTTCTTCATCTCTCACCTTCTGGAGGTCTGCTTCAAGTTTGATGATAGGAAAGCTAGCACTTTCAAGTGAGTTTACTTTTGTGAAGTATTCAAATTTTTTAAAATAACTTTGAAGGATTCTGATATGGGCGATCACATCATCACGATCTTGAATTTTAAGTCCTGTAACAACGAGGTCCATATCGCTACTTTCAAGAGCAAGCCCTGTGGTAAGACTCCCAAACATGTCAAGCTTTACAGGCTGGTCACTAAAGGCTGAGTGTCAGATATCTAAAATTTTTCTTTCTAAAAATTAATTTGATATACTACCTAGCGTCTTTCTTTCTGAAGAGACGCTTGCAATTTTCTTTTCTATAGAGTCTACGAAGAGATAAATTTCTTGGTCTAGGCGGTTGTAAAACCTTGCTTCATCATACTGAGTTTCATAATAATCCACTATACAGAAAATTAGGGACAAATTTAGGATTTGTAATTCATCTTCCATTTTCGGAAGTTAAATTTCATGGTAAAAAGAGGTTTTAAACAAGAATTCTTACTATCACTTGATTCGCTTGTATAGAGTCTATCAATATTCTCTCCAAAGCCGCTCTCCGAGAATGCTGCTCCTGAGACGACAGTCTTAGACTTAGTCACAGTGTTCGCTCTGAAATGATCATTAAAATATCTTGGTGACTGTTGAGGTCTTTCAAATCTCCCACTTGCAAATGCTTGTAATTTTTCATTCAATAATTGAAAACAGCCGTTTTGCATCAGATTGCCAAAATTTATGTCAGAAGGAGGGTCTTGATGACCCTGCCAATAATTGTTATCAAAATACCCATGCGAGTACCGATTCTTCTGATGCTTCGAATAATTGGAACAGAAAGGTTTGACATTACTATTGATTCGAGTCCTGTTCTTTACCGGCTTCTTTACAGGAGAGTTCTTTCAATCTGTATTTTGGAGAGATTTACAGCTATATCGAGGACCTCTTTCGGAATAGGAGTCGAAATTAAATAACCGTTTCTCTTTAATTTCTTCTCGAGGAGTTTCTGCTGTTTCAATACATCTAACCTCGCTCTGAGTGTCATCATTTAGTATTTTGAAATTGGTCATGGAAGAATTCTCAATAATCTTGGAAGCCTTGATTTTAGGATCCTGAGCTGACTGGGCATTAGATGTATCGGACTGAGTCTCATCCCACAGGGTAATAGACTTCTTCATCACATGAGCCATATTCTTTTTACGGTTTTGATAATTTGGAGACTTTATTTTTCTCTGATCTTTTCTATTACTCAGCGGTTTATTATTTTTATCCCCTTCCTGAGGCTGATTATTACTATCCGAATTGGAGCCCTCTTTGAGCTCAAAGACAATCCTTTTGGCAATCTTATTATGCCCACCTCTCTTCTTTTTTGATTTCTTTTTCTTGTCTTTGGCTTTAGGCTTCTTATGAGTGTCCTCAAGGCCATGGCTCCTAAAGGAATCTTGACCACCTTCAGAATTAAATCTTTTTATTGCTAACTTGTTGGTTTTCTGACTCTTTTTGCAATTAGTAACTAAAATTAGTGAACCAGATCCTTACGCAACTTCTCATCAACTTTCTGTACACTTTTTGTGCTCAGGATATCAGGGACAGTTGTCCAACCTTCCTCAGAAGATGGCTCAGGAAGTGCCTTTAAACTTCCTTTGTCACCAGATTTTTCTCCAATGGAGTATTCCTGAGTTGAAACACGATTAAAAAGTCTTAGTTAATTTCTCAGATTCTAGAGTCCTGAAAACTTTTTGTTTGTGGCGGTTCCTATAACTTGCATTACATTTGTCCTATCTTTCTAAAATGTGATAAATAAATGGCTTTTTGGTAAAGCCATTCGTTAAGATATTAACTGTTGTGTTGTAAAAGTTTGCCATCTCTCAAAATGAGTTCAAGAAGCCTTATTAATATGAAAATAATAAGTCACAGGGGAACATAACTAGTAGAGTGCATACCTGTTTCGATTCCTCCTCTTCTTCTTCGGTTGAACTTGCTTGACAGTTTCCTATACACAATATTAGTTGTATTTTAGCTGAGTTCATGGGGATTTAGAGTAGAAATTAGAAGCCTGTTGCTCTTGAAAAGCAACTTATGCATAAAAGTTTGCAAATATATTGATGAAACCACGAAGTTGCAAATTCCCTCAACTAAAGAATCTGTTAAGTATGAGTGTATAGGTGAGAAATGTACAATTGAACCTAAAGATCCAATGTAGTTTTAGAATTTCAAAAACTTTTCTCCAACTAATTTTATTAACTCTTGAATGTAGTATTTGAAAATACATTGAAAAGGGCTTACAATCTGCGCTTCAACCACAGGCTCGGGTTGAGGAGGAGCACATCCAAAAAGTTTGATTTTAAGCTGCTGCAATAAATATGCCATGCTTCCAAGTATTATTTTAAAATTTATTTGGGGTTTTGGGGTTTTGGGGTTTTGGGGTTTTGGGG